GTATGGTCTGTGTCCAGTGTGGATGCGTACATGAATTCTAAGTTGGGAACTGGTGTAAAAACCTTTATCTCAGTGATCACAGCTAAACCGTTTCTCCCCGGTATGGTACCGTTCATGAGCAGTATGATAGGATTTATCACTGAATGATTTAGCGCAGAACTTGCACGTGAAGGGTTTGTCTCCTGAGTGAACTCGAACATGACGGACAAGATGAGATCGCCAATCGAAGATTTTATCGCACACTTTACACTTGAAAGGTTTCCCTTCTCGGTGCGTACGTTCATGACGTGCCCAGTCGCACCCAAGCCTACAATGCTTTTGTGCGCCCAGTGATGGAGTACTGCCCTATTGTCTGGATGGGAGCGGCCCCATCCCATCTCGCAAGACTCGACCGTGTGCAAGCCCGGGCCATCCGTGCCATCGCCCCAATGTGTTGGCTGCCGAGTCTTGCTTTTCGTCGGATGGTTGCAGCACTTTGCCTCCTGTACAAGATGCATTGTCCGGATGCGCATCCCCTTCTACAGAGGATGCTGCCACCCCAGCAGCCCCAACACCGAACAGTCCACTCCACCCGTAGTACATTCCAGAGATGTAATACTCACGCACACCAACTGGCCAATGAACTTCCAGTCCGTTCCCGAAACAACCTGTGTCGAGCCTACCCTCACGCAGTTGTCCCCGTCTGGAACCAGCTGCCCGCCGGAGTCTTCTCTGGTCCTTTCTGCACCAAGAACTTGCAACACTTCAAAGTTGCAGCCAACCGCTATTTGAAGACCAACGACTGGTCGTGGGCACATGACCATCTCTGATTATCAGCATCATATCTGCCTCACCCCATGACTTCCAAATTCCGCTCCAAATACTATTCCCAATACCGTCTGTTCTTCTTTTCTCTCCTTCTCCTCCTAGCACTGTCTGTCTTATCATTCCCCTCCTTCTAATGTACTGTCTCTCCTCCTAACATTTCGTATCCTGTACCTGTCACTCCTTTCATTTTTCTTCTTTTTTTTGGTGCGTTTTATGTCCCCTTGACGTCGAGACCTCAGGTCTGCTGAGGGCAAAAGGCCTCACCATCACTATGCTCCCACTATGCAATTTTTTGTCTTTGCCTGTGAGCTGTGATCATTGTAAAAAAAAAGACTTGTTAGACTGGATCGAGAAGAAAATGATTTTTCGCAAAACTTACATTTATGCGGCTTTTCTACGGGAGGTGAATGACTGCGATCAAGCATATCATTCTGGCGATCAAGCGATGGCCCAGTTTCCTTGCAAAGCGAAGTTTCGGGCTGAGGAAAGTCAGCTTGAAGTTGAATATCTTCCTCAGACCTAGACTCTGAGATTTTCTCTTTGTTGTGCGGTAAGCTAGACATCATAAGATCCACTGGAACATGTTCGATATAGTGAACGTCCAGGTCGGCAGATTTGCCTGAGTGATCGCCATCTTCCGACTCATACCCAACGTGGGCGCGGCCTGTGTAGTGATCTGAAACAGTAACGGGATGGTTAGCAGTTCGGTTACTGTTGTCTTGCGATTTTTGGCCATTGTCCGTTGCTGATGTCATGGGATTAGAGCATGGGTTATCGTCAGTTGCTGTTGAAGGATCATTAGCGCGTGTATCTTTGTTTCTCTGGAACTCTGGTCTCGGGTGCCTGAAGTTGTCTGCTGCAATGTCCAGCCTAGGATGATCTTGAAGAACACAGGAGGTAGATATTGGTGTGTTCCAAGAGGTGATTGAGGAATGCTGAAGTCCATAATTCGCAAAAGAGCCTTCTGAGGTCGTCTTTGGATTACCGCTATCAGCGTTGGCGTGGTGATGAGCTCCATAACATGTACCATAATATGGTATATTTGGCGGTGGAGGACACGCATTTGAACTTCTGCTGGGCCATATCACTAATGGTGGCAGTGGTGAGAGTGCATCAGAGTCGACACTCCCCTCCGAAGTCCTGCAACAATCATCCATGATTCAATGAGTAATTCTTCCAAGCCCAGTTCTCCTGCCATACAGGGCAAAGTATCCGATTTCAATACCAATAATCCAAAGAGCAGGAACAATTCGTGTTAGAAGGTAAGTATTGAAATCAGTAGCAGCTGTGTTTACCGAATAAGTACATGAACACTCTGCTAATTTTTCACAATTTTAGGTTGATATCTATTTCTAGGCCCTAACATTTAATAATAGCAATAAAGAGAACAAATTCTGCAGTCATCGCCAAGCTACAACGAAGTCATGAAAGTTTGCCAGAATTAATTTTCTTGTCACATTCATCAGTGGAAAGTCGTGACTGAAGAGTAACCATGCTGAACAATGATTAAATATACATTCAATGATTCGTTGTAGTGTGGCGATGACTGCTGAATTTGTTCTCTTTATTCCTTACATTTAACTGACACATTTTGATCGTTCGCCATCAAGAGCTCTCGCGCGGAAACAAACACATACATACTCACACCCCCCCTTCCACAAACACACTTTTAAAACAGTCTCTCTATTTCCATATTTCTCTTCACCTTAGCGCGAGACATGGGATCACTCAAGCTTCATCCTGACTCTGCAGCACCTGACAAGGGGTTATGCAATCAAAGACACTTTGCTGTTAGAATATTACAACAAAGTGTCTGCTAAGAGTAGATGCATGGTTTATATCGGCTCTTGTGATAAATGATAAAAGAGGTAGCGCCGGGACTGGCCGTACTCAGGACTACTACAGGACACGAGGGAGATTCCATCCGCAAGGCAATCACGAAGCTACTCAAAGACGTTGGCCTAAGAGTAACCATCAGTACCAACCAGAGGACAGTGGACTTCCTCGACGTCACCTTTGATCTAGCCAGCGGCCGCTACTACCCATACCGCAAACCGAATGACGCACCCAGCTACATACACACCAAGTCGAATCACCCGCCCAATATACTCCGGAATCTACCTGAAATGATCAATAGCCGGGTGTCCGACATCTCGTGCGACGAGGAGGCATTCACCAACGCGGCACAAGCATACAGGGCTGTGCTATGATAGCGCAGCATGTGCCAGCGGATTTCCCTGCCGCGTCGCCACTACACAAGATCTTAGACAGAAAGACATTGAAGTTGAGCTACTCCTGCATGCCCAACATGTCCTACCTGATGAAGGGACATAACCAAAAGGTACTAACGCCTGGTTAAGAGAGATCTGCGGCAGGGTGCAACTGCCGAGCCAAGCCATCATGCCCTTTGGGCGGCGGATGCTTGGAGGGGGAAGCGGTGTACCAGGCTTCCGTCACAACCCCAAGTACCGGCGAGGAAAGGCAATACATCGGCCTGTGCGAGGCGCCCTTCAAGGTGAGCTATGGCAACCACCTAACCAGCATGCGGCATGAAAAGTACCGTACCAAGACCGAGCTATCCAAGCACACATGGGCGCTGGTTGACCAAGGTGAGGAATACAGAATCAAACGGGCAGTCATAGATCGGGCCAAGTCCTACAGCAACATATCCAAAAGGTGCTGCTTGTGTTTAGCAGAAACGTTGCGCATCATCACCTTCAAGATGCCTCACACTCTGCTCAAAAAGAGATCAGAGTTGGTATCAAAGTGCAGACACCAAAACAAGTTCTACCTCTCCACCTACTCTGCCGTGACATAGCCACCGCGTGCTACCATTATCACCGCCAAATCCTCTGAATACCCGCGGCTGTTGAATGTGGACACCACAGTGGGCTTCCTCCGCCACACATCACACCCCTTCCCAGTGCCCCCATGGCTTACCCTTGCCCTGCCTGGTGGTTTCTCCGCCTCTGCACGCTCAATGCATAGTTCGCGCCTACTTCGCATGCCCATCCAGTGATATATTTCTTATCACTCGCTCTTCCCATGCATGCCCTGCATTGATAACTCACACATACCCATGCGTATCCCCCACACTAAGAACAAGCTATCCCGCGACAATAGCATTAGTTGTCTGATGATTGCCTTAGCATTTAGCTACGTGCATGAAACGCAGCGTTACAACGTATGTATAATAATTGGTGGAACCATTCTTTTTGACCTTTGAGGTAGTGCCGGGTATACGGTACATGATCTATTACACTCTGCCCAGTTCTAAGCATTGGTATGGTCCACTTGCTAACTCCACACGTTATTACTGTTGACAATTTCTGTAGAGCTAATTTTTAAGAAAGAATCTGATATATCCGGAATGAGGTGTTAGAAATGCCACATAAAATCATGATAGGAGTGCAATAAAACACTAGGGCAACAAGATTACGTAACCAAAGTTGACACGCCACTGAACGAAGTGTCAACCTTCGTGGTCGTGCACTTGTATCATGAATATCCTGAGTTTCTCACGATGTAAAAACACCACATTTAAATCCTAAACGTCTTGAACGCCACTAGATTTTGTGCATTCATAGGAAGCGAGAGTTGCTACATGTAAGTCTGAGGAAAATGTTGAGCAGTCGGTGCTTGGACGACTAGTAGTGGTAGAGTGATTAGTGGTAGAGTATGGCTGGGCATCGATTGTATCAGGTTGGAGTCCTGGTGGTCACAGTCATTTCCCCCTTTCCACATTTCCCTCCAGCAAATCATCGGAACATTTAGGTAATCTTTTTATTAGAAGATTTTTAACGTTTTGACGGGGACTTGAACGGGTCTATACAAATGAGACCAGAGGTAGACATCTTCATACAGGAATAAACTATCTCACATATTTAGCATCATGTGCCAACTTCAAAACAGCACAGCGTCTCTTCTGAGGAAAAGATCTATACCTCGGCATGCGTGCAGAAGAGTAAAGATGCGCGAAAAAATACAGATTTTATAAAACACGAGCCACATGATCAGCTCAACTGTTTTTTTTTGTGAATGGTAGATATGGAAACACGTGTACGAAGTGCATTGAGTAAGATGGCTAGAAACCGAACAATATATCAACTCTAAAACAATGATTATGATAATGTTTGTGATGTTTCATATATGGTAGTCAGCATGTAAGAATTGATTTTTGCATGGAGTTCAGATTGGGCTACTTGCATTTCAAAACGCACTTATAATGAACATTTTTCTTAATCTGGGAAAGAAACCTTTTGTTCAACGGTGTTAGTAGTTTGCATGGTCTTCCAGGTGTTGTTTTGTACGATTGAAATACTTGTCACAGTCGCTGATAAGTTTCTCTCAGGGATGGATTCCTTCGTGTACCGTTAGATTGGATTTCCGAGAGAAAGGCTTTCCACATACTTTACACGAAAATGGCGTCGTGCCAGAATGGATGCGTTGATGACTTGCAAGATGTGAAGTATTCCTGAATGATTCGCCACAAACGTTACATTTGAAGGGTTTTCATGCAGTATGGATGCGTTTATGTTTTGAAAGATTTGATGGAGTCCCAAACGCTTTGTCACAAACGGTACACTTGAAAGGTTTCTCTCCGGCATGGATGCGTTGATGAACTGTGAGATGTGATCGTTGTGTGAATTCTTTGCCACATTCTTTACACTTGTATGGTCTATCCCCAGCATGGATGCGTTGATGCACGGTGAGATGTGAATGGTATCTGAATGCCTTGTCACACTCTTTGCACTTGTATGGTCTCTCTCCAGTGTGAATGCGTGAATGAATTCTAAGTTGGGAACTGTGTTGAAAACCTTGATCACAGTGATCACAGGTAAATCGCTTCTCCCCGGTATGGTACCGTTCATGAGTAGTATGATTGGATTTATCACTGAATGATTTAGCGCAGAACTTGCACGTGAAGGGTTTGTCTCCTGAGTGAACTCGAACATGACGGACAAGAAGAGATCGCCAATCGAAGACTTTATCGCACACTTTACACTTGAAAGGTTTCTCTTCTCGGTGCGTACGTTCATGAGATGTTAGACTGGACTGAGTAGAAAATGATTTATCGCAAAACTTACATTCATACGGCTTTTCTACGGGACGTGAATGTCTGCCATCAAGCATATCATGCTGGCGTTCAAGCAATGGCCCAGTTTCCTTGTAAAGCGAAGTTTCAGGTTGAGGGAAGTCAGCTTGAAGTTGAAAATCTGCCTCAGAACTAGACTCGGAGACATGCTGATTTTTGTGCGATAAGCTAGACATCCTAAGATCCACTGGAACATGTTCGATATTGTGAACCTCCAGGTCGGCAGATTTGCCTGAGTATTCGCCATCTTCCGACTCATACCCAACGTGTGCATGGTCTGTGTAGTGATCTGAAACAGAAACGGGATGGTTAGCAGTTTGGTTACGGTTGCTTTGCGATCTTTGGCCATTGTCCATTGCTGATGTCATGGGATTAGAGCATGGGTTATCGTCAGTTGCTGTTGAAGGATCATTAGCGCGTGTATCTTTGTTTCTCTGGAACTCCGGTTGAGGTGGCCTGAAGTTGTCTGCTGCAGTGTCCAGCCAAGGATGATCTTGGAGCACTCTGGAGGTAGATGTTGGTGTGTTCCAAGAGGTGAATAAGGAATGCTGAAGTGCATTATTCGCAAAGGAGCCTTCTGAGGTCGTCTCTGGGTTACCGCTATTGGGGTTTGCGTGGTGATGAGCCGTGTAAATCGTACCGTAAAATGGTATATTTCGCTGTGGGGGATACCCAGTTGACCTTCTGCTGGTCCATATAACCAATGGTGGAAGTGGTGAGAGTGCATCAGAGTCGGCACTCCCCTCCGAAGTCCAGTCACAATCATCCATGATCCACTTACTTCAACAATTCTTCCAAACTCAATTCTCTTGCCATGTAGGGCAATGTATCCGAATTCAATACCAATAATCGATGGAGCAGAAACAACTCATACTAGGAGGTTAGTATTGTAATCAGTAGCAACTGTGTGTCCCGAATATGTACATGAACACTTTGAGATAATTTGTCACTTTGATGTCTATTTCTAGGCCAATACATTAACGAGCTGCTCTATAATTATCACTAACACGACCAATGTCTTAACAATCAGCTCATGCGATAAATTTGCACGACATTTACCGACGTTGACAGACGTTGACCGACGTTTACCGACGTTGACCGACGTTTACCGACGTTTACCGACGTTATAGCGTTACTAGTACTTCCTTGGTCTTTTTTCTTTTCTATAAATTAATCCTTGCTTCTTCATCCGAGTCCATCCTTACATTTAAGTGACACATCATGATATTTTCACATCATGCGCTCACGCCCGGAAACACACACATGCACACTCACACAAACAAACACCCATCCCCCCCCCTCCACACACACAAACACACACACACACTATCTCTATTTCCATATTTTTCTTCACCTAAACGCTTGACATGGGATCAGCCAAGCTTCGTGTGGAGTCTGCAACACGTGACAAGAGGTGATGCAATCTGAGACACTTTGTTGTTAGAATCGAAGAACACAAAGTGTCTGCTATGAATAGATTCATGGTTTACATGGTCTCCTGTGATATGGTCTATGTAGTACCAGGCATATGTTACACAATCGATTAAAGTACGCCCTGTTCTAAACATAGATGTGGTGCTCTTGCTAATTCGTCACGGTATAACTGTTGACCATGTCGGTGGAGCTAAGTGTTAAGAAAGATATAAAGTAAACGAAATGAATATCGTGAGTTCCGCGCTATGTACAAACAGCACCATTAAAACAGAAAACGTCTTGTACGCTCCTTGCATCCCACGAGCTTGTGTGGATTCACAGGAGGCGTGAGTTTCTAAGTCTGCGGAAAATATTGAACGGTCACTGATCGGATGACCACTAGTGGTAGAGTGCTTAGCTGTAGGGCATCTCTGGGCATAAGCGATTGTCACAGGTCACAGGATTGAACCGCCGCCCCAACACCATTAAAGCCTGGTTAGCTCAAAACATATAACAACGGATTCATCTCTCCATTTGTCAGAAAGGGCAGTTAGGACACAGTATCTTCTTTGAAAGATCCCATCGACACCAAATTTGGGGTGCTGGCTGTGCTAGTACTCGTCCGAACTAGCTCACTAGCTGCACTGCATGGCTCTATACTGCCTTCAAGAATGACGTCATGCGCTATGTTTTGCTGCATAATCACAAATTTATGGCACCCAACTCGTTTTGATGAAAAAAAACAAATCTTGCTTGCCCTGTTTAGTCCATCGGCCAAATCTCAGAAAGGGCCTCTTTCGGCGAAGGTGATGCACTGAAGCTCCAACTAAACGCCCTTTGGCACACTAGCTCATGAGACCCCATAGAATACGAATCCGATTGTTGGACGTTGCCAATCCAGTCCAGGATAGTCGAACTGGGTCGAATACCTTCTTCCGATTTTCGTAATTTCGTCCACCATTACATCTTTCTCATCGACTTTTTTTCGCTTGGCGAATGTTCTTGAGCCGCTGAGCAGAATCTACGCACGCTCGAACACTTGAAATGCCTGCATGTTGACGGTTCGCAAGATTCTAGCGAGCTTGGTGGAAATCTATTATTTATTTTGACATTTTTGGGGGAATCTGAATTAGAACGGTAGAAGCTCATTCGGAGAAGACGGCGTGTCGCCGCTGTCGGATTGTCGCTACTGTGTTTCAGACGTATTTGCTTGAACGTGCTATTGAGGATGGACAGAAGATGAAGTGACGGCTTTCTTGAACACGGACGTTGTGTCTACATTGTAGCTGAAACATCTCATCTGGCGTCTAGAACGCAATTATTATGAGTTGTGAGTGCCAGCTGAGCTGAACACAAGCTGGACACCATTCGTCAGCTGGGAATTTGCATCGAAGCTCTTGATAGCCACGATAAGCATAATTAGACAGAGGTAACTTTGTTTGACTCAATACGCATGCAGGTGATACCACTAGTGGCACTGCAATGTAAATGGTGCAAAATTGATCCAACAACGAATATGTACTTCGTACAATCACGAACAATTGTAAGGCAAGTATTCATGCCTGTCATAGAAGAATTTCAGCCCGGAAGTCTTGTTGTCATGGTCATAAATAATACAGGACTTGAGTTGGCTCTGGACATAAACACACTTGTGGTGAATACGGTCATTATTGCGAGAAAAAGATTTATTTATTTTATTTATTTATTTATTCAACATCTCCTGGCCCGTCCGAAGACTGATTTAGGCACTGTATGTTAACACCTGATGCCGCACTACACGCAATATTTCATGTACATGTATGTGAGACTCAATAGACCATTTGCGCAAATAATAGTAGGGGGGCCGAAAGGGGGCAAGCGTACGCGTAGGGGGGCGTCAGGTGACCCAGCGCTGCAGCAGCGCGCATGCAGCAGCGCTGGGTCAAGCAGACAAAGTACACACTTTCTTGCTGGTTTTGTTTTTTTCGAGTAGACAGAGCTGGTGCACAGTCGAGTCACACGGTCATGGAGGGTGAGGACGGCAGAGTCGGTGCGAGTAGTGTCGGAGAGCTGGTAGAAGAGGTTCCTCAGCCTTCTTGGACTATAAAGCAGCTGAGAGATTATCTACGAAAGCAGGGTGGTTTGTTGACAGGACGGAAAGCGGAGCTACTTACGAGGTCGTTCATACGGGGCTTCGTCGACTGATGTTTTTTACCTACACTCACTCACGAACTGCGCGTGACATTTGTTCTACATCCAGGGCGTTATTCTACAAATCCAATCCCGAAGCACCAAGAAGCAAGCGGTCGACCCGTGATGCAGCTCCCGTCGCCACGCGCACTCCAGCACCAGTATTTCCTGACTCTGGCTGGACCCAAGACAGATCGAAACTTGCTCGTGTACCAGCATCCACGATCTTGTCGCCTTTGCTGCTTACTGGAAAGCAAGTTCGCACCAGTGAGAGCCATGTACTCATCATCAGGAAGCCGCTAGATCGGGGACACGAGCTGTATTTTGGTGGATACATTCACGATGTTAGTGTGTGCTGTGTGGAGGCCGAGATTTTTATCGAAGCCAAGTGCTGGGCAACCCAGAAAAAGTCTACCAAGTACAGCTTGCGACTTGTGTTCACAGATGACGCCAAAAATGATAGTGCTGTGCTGGATTTTGCTGTGTGTGTGAGGGCTGTGTTGCTGGTGGAGATGGTGGGCTCTGCTCTCATGTGTTTGCTGTGTTACTGGTGCTTAGATTTTGGATTTCAGTTTCGGCAGCCTCCGACACGATACTCAAACTCACTCTCACTTTCTCCTCGCCGCGGCTTCTTGGCTTTTGGCTCGACATCGAGCCTCTTTAGTAAAGAATGACGAACAAGTGGAGCACTTCGACGATCCGCAGGAGAGGGTCTCTCGGCTGGTGGTCGCCGAAAGGAGAAAACACTGGGGATGCTTTCCTGCTTCAAACGACGATGCGGCTTCCCAGAAGCTAATGCAGGCAGCCCGGGTAGATCTGGATGGAAGTCTTTTTCCCTGAAATGTTCACTGCAAACAACAGTGCTGGATGAGATCGTGAAATGCGCTCCCTCTTCGCGCTTACATGCCTGCACCCATCTCGCCCTTAGGTCGAGATCTTTGGGATACTTATGAAAAGACAGATCTCGTTGATCTGATCGGCGATTTGAGCAGCCAAACACAGAGCAGTGGTCGTGCGATGGCATCGTGAGGCGAAGGAAAACTACCGACTGAACTACAACCAAACCATTTCAAAACAAAAACAAGAAACACCGTACCCACGGCCACCGGCAGGCAACAAGCACACGAAATCTCCGTGCAGTACACCACGTACACGCTGTACTTGCACTGTGCAGTGTGCACGGTCGGTCCACGCGCGATCTCATGCACGATGGGGCCCCCCTATAGACCATGCCTTGCCCCCTTACGCCCCCCTACTTTATTTTGTCAAATGGTCTATTGCATCCACAAGGCCTGTTGTATACATTGCATGCATCATATGAGTCAATGTGTCATATCATGTTTCTCATGCCATTCATCCTTGCTCATGCTAGACTAGACGTCTGCGTAGGGACAGCTTGCTGGTGTGCTGCATGCATTCATTGCTAGTTCCATGCATTGTTCTTTGCCCTACTGTGGCGGGAAGGTCGTCCCGTGCAGCCGCGATGATCAGCTGCGCTACGGAGGTTCAGTTCCGGCAAACATGCGTGCGGATTTGCATTTTGCTGCTTGGTTTTTGATGTATTTGTAGTTAGTGCAAGGAAAGAGCTTGCTGGTGCAGTTGTTGTTTTGGTTTTGGTTTTGAGTTTAGTTTGCTCTTTGTTGTTACCTGCTTTGAACGATCGCCTTTTGTGGAATCGTTACGCTCCTTGTGGTACAATAATACAGTCTTCAGAAATATCGAATACATAGTGGTCCTTCGAGCCGGATCTAGTCGCGGTTCATTTTATAACCTCACAAGGATGAGTGAGTCGCGGGCGATCGGACCGAGGCGTAGTGGAAGAAAGACTAAAGGCTGGCACTCGGCTCGATATGGGTTTGAGGAGTCAGATAAAGAGGAGCTCGAATTGAGTTTAGCGAAATTGAATAGGCGAGCAGAGGAACTAAAACTCCTGATCGCAGAGGAGACCGCTTCTATGGAAGCGCTGC